TTAAGTGTATGTGGCTGGCGCCTTAGCCGCTTGAGCCACAAGCGCCGAGCCTGTTCATCAGCTTTCATTAGTGTTTGTGTATTTAACGCGTAGCCCAAGACTATGTTTAACTCTTCCAGTGTGTGGCAGAAAAAAGATTGAACACCCTTAGTTTAGATGGCTACTACGCCACTCACATCTAAATATACTAACACGATATAAAAAATCAGCAGGGAAAACATTTGAACCCTATGATTAAGATTCCATATGTTAATTGTTTTTGATAACAACATAACACTTTTATTCGCTGGAAAATCACAAAAACAGACTGATATTTACAAAAGTTCTTTTTCAGTTAAATCTGGATGAAAGGAGGATAGTAGATTTTAGGATACACAGGAAAAAGTGGATGAATTCTGTTGACAGACTGGATTGGTACACAGTCTACTCCTAAAGAATCTTCTGATTAGGAGAAGTCAAGACAGGGTAATAAATAAGAACATAATTATTATCATACTTATAAAAATGTAGATAAACGCACAATGCTTACTTGCTTGGCTCACTTGCTTCCTGTGGAAGGTGTAATTTTCTAAAATCAGAAGTTATAAATAGTTTTGGTTAGACTACAGTGCTTTTTGCATTTTCTGAGGATACAGAAATATCTGAGGATACTTTCTGAAGGTGAGTCTGTTGGGTGGTGATAGAGAAACATGTTGGTTGACATTTTCCTATTGGAGAAACAAACAACAAACGAACAACTAAGTAAGCCCTTCTCTACAGAAAATGAGGAGTTGACCAAATATGCTTGGGTCGACTTGACCAAACCAAGTTACGCACGAGGGTGCACCATCAAGTTCACAGGCTCATCCTAGAAAAAGTGCTACCAACTTCAGTGCCAAATATCCCTATAGTCACCTTCAAAGTACTCCCCTTGGGAAGATATGCCCTGACGCCAGCACCTAGCCTACCCTTCAAAGTGCTTTTTTAAGGACGGATTTACGAAGGCAGATTCAGAAATGACGTTTGTGCAGCCATGAGGTTTGCTGTTTTGCAACATGCAGGAAAGACTGTCAACACTTCTAAGAGTACGGGGATGCTGAGAGTCTGGGGCTCACTGAGTCTCTGATGTTAAATTTTCCTGATGATAGCCCAGGACAGAGATTTTTTGCCCCAGTGTCCACAAGCTACACTGTGAAGAGTTCAGCATTCCCCCCAGTCCAAAGAATGGGGATTGAAAAAGTGGGGGTGTTTCTCCATGATAAATCACAGTGGTTGGGGTTTCCAAACTTCTTGCAAACTGTTGGATATCACTCATGCATTCTGACCATGGGCATGTTCACAAACCATGAGC